ATATATTAAAGAAGTGAATCTTAGTAACAGTTAACATGCAGCTTATTTGCCTGTTTTGGTTCCTGTACTTGCATTGGTTATTTTGCATTGATTATTTCTGCCATTGTAGGTCCTTATGTTTTCCTGTATTTGTCTCCTTAAAACGTCCGTTTTCTGCTTTGGGTATTTTTTGTTATTGTTTAGGGTATTTTTTGTTATTGTTTATATTCTTATCGGACACATGCATTTTTGGCTCTGCTTGACCGTTTTCTCAACCAATGATGTTCCGATTTCTGTCACCCTCTTCCATCCTTCCAGAACTCTCTCTCTCTATTCCTCCGGTATAGTCTACTATACACAGAAAGCCACCGCCTTATCTGATTTCTTCTGCTTCATTCTTTTCTCAATCTTCTCTTAAGCGATGATGAAGCACACTACTGCAGATTTTCAAACCGAGGTCGACGTCCTACCGGTGGAGACGAAGCTGACAATCACCTCACCCCACATCTCCACTCTTCGTCTTCTCTGTTATGCTACTATCATCAGCCGTAGCTTCTTATGCCGGCCATCATAGCATCGCAATTGCTTCGTTCTCCGTCGCTGACAACGAGGCGGCTCCGGGTAAAAGTGACAGGCGTCCTGCTCCTTCTTTCGGTGGTAATCGTCAGCGACGACCTGTCCTACCACCTCCATCATCGTCGTCTATCGACTGTAGAAATCGAGCCTCCACAAAAAAATCCCTAAAATCTTTTACTTTCTTCTTCGTTGGAGCCCTAAAGTCGACTGAAACAAATCACTTTCTACACCTTATCATTACTTGTGATTTACTGACTATGCTTGCTTACCCTGTTCAATTGTATATGTTTTTGGGACTCATCGGTGTTTGAAATTGCAGGACCATTTTTCTGGTATGCTGAAATGACTTACAGATGTAAGGTTTAAGCTAATGATGTATCTTTTTGGGTATTTTTCTGTATTTGTGTGTATTATTATGTATTTTTTGATATTTCTAAATGTTTTTGTTGGGTATTTCTGTCAGGTACGTACAAATTTCGAGTTTATAACCTTAACACTGTTATTGTGGTTGACATTTGTTCATTTCGATGACAGGTAATGTGAGGTTGACATTTGTTCATTACGATGCCAGGTGATGTTTCTTATGGTTTATTGCAGGGAATGCTTGCTAACGTGGAAGAAGAAACCATTGAGTGACTGAGCTATCAGATGCCAGGTGATGTAAAATTTAGAAGTTATTTATGTTTTTTGACATGTGCTGAAAGATAACGCCATAAACCCAACGGTTCTCGACCGCTTCCATCTCTACTTTATTTGAATTTCTTCTTGCCATGAGGTAAAGGCTTGTGTTCTTAACTCTCATTACATCCTGTACCATACTATTTCTTTTAATTTTTATATTAATTGCTTTAAATTATGTGCTTTTTAAGATGTAAATAGGTAAGTAACAGCAGGTAGGTTGTCAATTTTACTTCTTCACCTATGCAAAAATTAGGTTTTATCACCATTTTCTCTGTGATCTAATTTAGGAAATGGTGAATTTGATGGTGTTAGGTCTTGCAATATATGATACAATGCAATACATTCGATCTCCTATCAATACAATATGTTTAGGTCAAGCTGCATCAATGGCTTCTTTGCTGTTGGCTGTTGGTGCAAAGGGTGAAAGGCGATCTCTTCCTAATGCCACCATCATGATTCATCAACCTTCCGGTGGATACAGCGGGCAGGCTAAAGACATGGCCATTCACACGAAGCATATTATTAGGGTTTGGAAGTCTTTGAATGGGCTTTATGCAAAGCATACTGGACAAAATGTTTATGTGATTCGGAAGAATATGGATAGGGATTGTTTTATGACTCCTGAAGAGGCGAAAGAGTTTGGGATTATAGATGAAGTGATGGATGAGAGACCCTTGACTTTGGTTACTGATGTTGTTGGATGTGAAGGGAATGGAGTGAAATTGGATTGAATGGAATACAGGAAGTGGATTTGTTACTTTATTGATAAAAAAAATCGTTGTTTTATCTTGATTTATAGTAGTTTTACTTATCGGTTCTTTCATTTGTAGGATCACAAGTGCCATACAACAGGAGTTATCAGAAGCTAATATAATGTGCAAGAGTATGCCAATATTCCATACTTTAATTGTTTTTTCATAGTTTTAAAACTAACAGTAAATAACCGCTTTGTGATAAATTCTTGAAAGAAAGTAGACATTCCATTTGATGAATGATGAAGAAGAAGAACATTATCTGAAATAAGTTGGAAGTGGGCTTTGTTTTCAGACCCAATTAAGCATAAGTAAGTTAACATAAAACTCACTTTCTCTCTCCAGTGAAGCAGTCCATGTATGTATATATACATGACATTGTATCTATATGTCCAAAAGAAAGGAAAATATTTACAGTTAAATAAATCTTTCTTCCCTATTTTATAACTTATATGAATGAATTTTTATTTGATTAATTCAAGTTCGATCTTGAGGTTGATGTACCTTGCAAGGTGATTTGAATTTTTTTTTTTTTTTTTTTT